GTGTACTGTATATCTCTTTATCTCTACATATATTGTACATCAATGTCATTCTACAATGTTTATGCCAACTACATTCACATATTACCGTGGTTAAGAGAATTTGTTATAACGTTTTGAAGTTTTGTTTACAACGGTTGATATGTTTATACAGCTCATAAAATATTGTACAACATAATGAAAAAATTCTTATGGATTATTATTACTAACTTTATTTGAGCGACGTTTCGATCAGTGTTCTCTGGTCTTTATCAAGCAATGAATAATGATTGATAAGGACCAGAGAACACTGGTCGAAACGTTAGTAATTGTAATCCATAAGAATTTTTTCATTATATCCAACACCATTACTAAATGCCATTCAAAGATCGTATTGTACAACAATGTCATACAATTGTACAGTTGTTATGCCAAGGTAATTTGGCATGTTTTTATATGTTTTATTTTTGGAATTAAGCTTTCTAATAATGAACAGAACAGTTGTTTTTAGTCATTTTGTAAAATACTCCCGATTAAGCTTATTAGTGTGTTTTTATCAGTTTTCAACAGTTTATCATTTACTAATGATTATGTTTTTAACAAACGACAAATACCTTTTTATATTTTTATTTGACAGTAAATGGCATGTTTGAACGAATGATAAATCTAATTAAATTTATTTTACGTGTTTTAGGAAAAACTTACATCTGCGTTGTATATTTATTTAATTCAATTAAAGTTATTTAGGTTTTGGGAGACTAAAAGTAATAACATACATCGACATTACATTTTGTGATTGAAAATTGAAATTTTAACTTTGAATATTCCACAAAACAATACCTCTCGCAACGAGTTTTGAACGATGTATAATGGCCGCAATGGACCACCATACAAGCCCTTTGATTAGTGTCTAATTATCACTAGCAATCATATTCTTTTGATTCATTCATCTGTTTATTCGTACATTAAAGTGGAAAAAATAAACAAAATCCAAATAAGTGAGTAGACATTTCACGAGGAAAGAAGCATCGATGTGAAAGGGCCACAATGAGCCCCCATACAAACCCCATGGTTACTTCATGATTATAATTAGCAATAAGCATTCTGTATTCATCAGTCGGGACTACAAAGTGGAAAAACTAAACAACTTCCAAATTAGTGAGCAGAAACTCACTTTCAAGATATCGCAAAGGATTTTCAAAGACAACCCCCTACCAAGCAGAAAAATCCGATCTTTTCATTAAAAGTGTATATTATGCTGTAATGATTGAGGTATATTGACGAAATGATTGGCGTTGAATACGACAGCAAGGGGCAGTGATTGCTTAATTAGAAACACCAATACGCTGGATTAGCTTTGTGTCTCTAAAGAGATTAACTACGATGGGATTAACAGAATATTCAGGGTATATTAGGATTTCGGGGGTTGGTTTAGGTTATATCAAATTCTTTCACCTCATTTGAACGATTCTAGCAATATTTTGATTCAGTAGTAAATTTTGTCTTTGAAAAAAAATGGAACTTTTTAGATATACTATTTCTAAGGTAAATATAACTTTTAGTATTATTTTTGATACTTTTTCTTCAAAAATTTTCAGAATTTGTTCCCCCAAATTTTTAGATTCTTTGCCCCCTATATTTTTCATGATATATGATGTTTGGATATTTTCAAAAATGAGGAATGGTGCCTGTATTCTTGATTTACAAGAAAACATCAGTCGGTTCTTTGATCTGAATGATTTTTCGGATCCTTTTATATTTTAATAAGATATTTCGAGTAGTTTACTAGCTAGTCTAGACATGGCATATGATGTCTTGGTCGTACAAACTATAAATAAAACTGTTATTTTTTTATTTTCAGAAATTCATGTATTTTGGTAAAAGAAAATGTATGGTCGAGAGCTGTGTCCCGTCATGCAAACGTCAGCTATTTTCTTTTAATGAAGAATCCATCACTGATGATGTCACTTCCCATCATCAGGATTCACTGGCAGCCAATCAGAATAAAGATTGGGTCACGTGTCTAAAATCGAATTTGGAAATTGATTGTACAGTGTCCATGAATAAGTTCCAGTTGTATCTCGAAGTTTTGAATGAAAGCATTGAAGAATTGGAATCCGATTGTGAAAGCATCGAAGCATTGGACACCAAATGTGAAAGCATCAAAACATGGGACTCCGATTGTGAAAGCTTTGAAGAATTAGAGTCTGACGAAGTATGGATAAAAGGCCACGAACATAATGACTCTCATTTAGGCCTGAATTTTTCCGACTCGGCTCTTTGTACGGAGTTCGACGTTTTAGAATACAGCAATATCGACCCTGAACATTTTGAGAAGAGTCGAACCGTTTTGTATGATTCGGGATTTTGCTCGGATTCATCTTTAACTTTTGAATCAGACGTCTGCTCAAACGATAAAAT